TTAGAAAAAAAAAAAAAAAAAAACCGGGAGGACAAGGCGTTGCATGGCAACTATATAAAAAGAACGAAAGAAGCAGATGTGGACGAACAGAAAACACTTCAGTGCCTGAGGAGCACAGGGCAGAAAACTGAGACATACAGTCTAATTATTTCAGCTCAGGACCAAAGCCTCACAACCAGGTCCTATCACTGTCACATAAACAAGGGTGGAACTAACCTGATCTGCGGAAAATATGATGAAACTCTCGACCATATTTTCTCAAGATATCCGGAACTGACATAAAAGTGAATATAACGACAGACATAACAAGGTAGCGACATGTGTGCCCTAGAAGATAAGCAAGAAGCACAAAATCGAAACCACTGAGAGATGGTATGAGTACCAACCACACACAGTTACCCAAAATAACGATGTAACTATCCTCTGGGACATGCCAATTTAAACTGATAGTGAAATACAGATCAACAGACCTGATTTTATCATAAAAGACAAGAAATTCAGGAAGTATATGCTTATCGACATAGAGAAACAACTCCATTAAATTTATCGAGAAATTGTCCAAATATAAGGGTCTGGAGATCCAGATTAACGGGCTATGGGGAATGAAGACTGAGACTGTACCAATAGTGATACGAGCTCTGGCCACGAGGGCAAAGGAATGAACAATTTTACTAACAGTGTCTCAGTTAACATCAACATACAGGTTGCCCGGAAGATCGCCCTACTAGGAACGTCTAAGAAAAGTGCTATTAATTAAATGAGAATTCACTTATAGGGCCTAAGGACCATAGTATGGACCGGCTCTACAAGATGCAAAGCAGGAAACGTAACATAACGAAATGAAGGTAATAATAATAATAATAATAATAATAATCCCATAACAGTTATAATAATAACAATTCCAAAGAAGTTGAAATAATATAAACTGAAATGGTACAAGCAAATCGAATAAAGTAGAACGTAAATACGTCAGTGAAAAATAAATCCTAGACTAGAGCAGAAATATTCAAAGCCTTACTTTGCTGTGACTCAAATATTCTCGTAATAAACCCCATTCTGACGGTTCAGATAATATATATATATATATATATATATATATATATATATACGATAAAATATAGTTTGAAGGTAAGCTATATTTATTGGTAAAAAGGCTCAACATCAGGGGATAGATCGCGTATAAATATAAAAGGGGGACACTGAGGTCAAAACCAAGTGGTGACAGTCTGTTTTTTGTTTGAACGAAATCTGCAATTCAACAGTCTAATGATCAAAGAGGGATTTATTTTACACCATTTATTTTTCAGCATCATCATCTTTGACAACTAAAGTACTTCACAGGTGAATATTGGTCAGGTAAGTTGAATATTTCACCGTCGATTTTCAGATCTACAGTTACCTATCTCGGTGTTGTGATATGCATTGGCTGATATATCATCTTATGTGAAGTAAGCTTAACCATAAAGCGAATTTAGAAAAAGAGTTCGAATGTCATATAAACCTAATTGTGTGCCTCATGTCACCAAATATTTTAAAGAAGTGTCATGCTTCCTGCAACACAGAGAAATAGGACCGTATAACAAAGCTGGTATGACAAAGAGATAGACTTGGATAAAAGACCAGCGTCTCTGGTTTGAGACAGGAGATCGACTTGTGTAACAGATCTGTACAGAGATGCAAGTATCCAAACATACATAGGAATGCAGATATAGAGATAGATCATGACTGAGAAAAGCATATATATATATATATATATATATATATATATATATATATATATATATATTTCGTTTCACTTTTTGGAAGTGCTATCTGATGATCCGGAGTCCTCTAAAAAGGGCTTTGGTGAAATAAATTATTATAATGGAACCATAAAGTGTTCTGTTTTTTTTTATATATATATATATATATATATATATATATATATATATATATGTGTGTGTGTGTGTGTGTGAAAAGTGTGTGTATATAAAATAAATAAATATATATATATATATATATATATATATATATATATAATTATTTATATATTATATGCGCAGTACTTATTAGAAAGCGCTCAATATCAGAGATAGAGCTAACATATTTGGTTGGATAGATTTGAGTTTATATATATATATATATATATATATATATATATATATATATATATATATATATATATATAACATAACAAAGTAGATTAAATGAATCTAGTTATTTGTACGAACAGGGGAATTTTGATAGCTATGATTAAACTAATATAAAAATGTAATTATAGATGTTAAATGAATATAATTACTTGTGTAACGAATTGTAAGTATTTTAATATAATCGGAGGGAAATAAAAAGGGGAAGATTTCAAAAGACTGGAATGTAGATAAGTAGATAAAAACATTTGAATTAAATAGATATTAGCTAATTAATAGAAGAGATCTCTCTAAGAAAAATAGATGAATGGAACCGACTAATAGACAGATCACTAGTATTGACGAGTTCCATGACACATTAGGGTCATATGGCCATCCTGTATACTTCTGCCCTGGCATCAGTGATGTAGTATGGTAAGATAACATGACTAGCACAGGCTGGTTTTGAATAAAGAACATTCTTCTTAGGTTGTTTTCCACCCCAAAGCAAGACAGCCGACCCTTCTTATTAATTAACCATAGCTGATGAAAGAAGTGATGGATCCGTACTTTTCCTGTCGATATTTGGGCGAAAGTGAAAATAACGAATTTGACCGGAATTCGAACTCGATACGTTGATTTCTCTTACTGAATCGTTAACAGCTATACTACACTACAAACACACGCATATAAATAAATACAAAAGGAAGATAGATAAATATCACATGTAAAGTCATCAAAATAAAAAGGAATTACAAAAAAAAGCCAAAAGCAACTCGTGTAGCTTCAAGACAAGTAACAGAAGAAATCGGATATTTAAGAGGAACTGTCGGATGAACACATCTGTGTATCCAACTCATACATTTTGCCAAAACGTAATGTTCATGCCAAAACCTCACTTTCCTGCCATCCGACAGAGAAAGAGATAGAGAGAAATAAATATATAGAGAGAGAATGTGAGAAAGAACGAATAAAACAGATGGAAAGAAACAAAGAAAGAGAGAGAGAGAGAGAGAGAGAGAGAGAGAGAGAGAGAGAGAGAGAAAGAAAAAAAGATTATCATTTGCGCAACGAAAGACGTAAAAGCAAATAAGTGGTGTATTTTGTCATTCAGGGCGTATTTTTCCCGTTCTTCGTCTGGCAGGTGGCTGGCTTCAAATCGATACCCTGACCTCTGTTTTGCTCGTGTGGCTTGCCGTTAAGACAAGCACAAAAGGTAAAGATGAAACAGCCTCAGATCGATTGGGCCCATTAGAGATGCATCTGAGCTTTCCAACGCCGACAATTGTGCGGGAGTAGGATGCCAAATATGTGCCCATCCCTGCACAGAGGGTATCACGTGGCTGAACAATGTGAGGTCGTCATTTATGCAAATGGTCGAAAAAAAGGATATTTGCCAGGGGTCTTTGTAATAAGAAGTGTTGCATATCTTCAATGCTGTAGGACTTGCGTGATGCATGTTTTAAATGAGGTTAGATAAATGGTTTTATCTTTCTAGCTCACAAACAAGCTCGCTAATACGAAAACATGCCTGTAGGTGTTCGATATTCGATTACCAACTATGAATTGTGGAGAGTTTGTTAATATTTCGATGTATATTCCCTATCATTCTAAGAATATTTTGAAAGGAATTGGTATTTTCTATTTATACAAAGGAAAAGATACCGAATCACAGCAAGAATTGACAAAACAAAAAACTGAAAGAGAATCAGATTACTCAACATTCAGTGATCTCACGTATCATGGGGTACACAAAATGGATCATTATTTTAATCTTCACTCAAGTCTCAAAGGTTGCTGAATGAGATTATTGTATAGATGTAAGAGGAAGGAGTAAGAGCAGACTATGAGAATATGTAGGATAGATAAGGATTGAAGACGTTGCCTTGAAGACGTTAAGATTGTAGTGATCGGAGAGGCATCATTTAGGGATTTTGTTGCATAAAGTAGCCGTTCTTGGAAAAAAGCTATATGATTGGAACTTCATCTTTACAATTAGAATATAAAGAAAAGGAGGATGAGTCGGTTCTGTGAATATTTCATAGTGGGATCTAGCAGTAAAATTCTGAACTAGTGGAACTATGGAATATTGCTAGTAATGGAAACAGCGATAGAATGGAGACACGTCCGCTATTCTATCACTATTTTGTCGGTGGGAAAGGGGTGGAAGGTTTGAAAATAATTCACCACCCAAAAGTCCGTGTAGATGATTTTGAATTTTGACAAAACTAGAAAATTAGGATTAGGTAACGCCAGCAAATACATGTCATCAATACTCCATTTTGGGTTTGATTTTAGCCTTGTAAAGATAGGGTATAGCCAGTTACTTTATTGAGAGGTATAAGGCACTAACATTTTTCAAGTATCTTTATCGAGGGATCGTATATATGAGTCCCACTTGGGCTCTGGGGTGAATAACAGTTCAAATTTAGACACAGGCACATACTGAAAACAAAGATATATTATATTATATACGACTTATAAGGTCTGTAACACTTCAGAACAGTCATACCAAATATATTACCACTACTTAGCAAAAATAGTGATGGCGCTTTAGTAACATTGATATGCTTATATTAGGACGTCGCACGTCATTTCTAAGTTTCTTCTACTTCCTTAAAAACGTATGCAAAATCCTCCTTTGTAATAGACATCATAACATTCTCCTTAATCTTGTCCCCTCCCTGAAATCACTTCGCTTTGGACAGCATTGTTCTCCTTCTATGTGCCATATTCCTGCATAACGTTGGAGATCATAGCTATCCGCAACATTATATTCCTGGTAAATCTTAGCAACGTTCTTTGACAAGCCGCCTGACTCACGTACTACCATCCCTCATACAACCTGTTCAAGTAGGCTTCTATTCCTTTTGACTTCGATATGTCCCTGAGTGTGTCAAATTCCCCGAAACTTCTTTCCTCATTATGTATATGTAATCTATCTATCTATCTATCTATCTATCTATCTATCTATCTATCTATCTATCTATCTATCTCAGTCTTTTCATATCTATCTATCTATCTATCTATCTATCTATCTCATCTATCTTTTCTATCTCAGTCTTTCATATCTATCTATCTATCTATCTATCTATCTATCTATCTATCTATCTATCATCTATCTTTATCTATCTATCTATCTCAGTCTTTCTATCTATCTATCTATCTATATCTATCTATCTATCTATCTATCTATCTATCTGTGTGTGAACGTGTTCAATTTGACGAGATAATACAGACTTGGGAAAACGTGGGAACGTTCTTTGAAAACCTACCTACGTTGACCCAAATCTTGTGCATGTAATTGTATAGATAAAACTTCAGAAGTCGCCGATATGTTTGCTAGCACGAAGTCACGAGTCACCGTGATCACGCTGAAAGTAAGGATATTTGACATATAAGTCTCAGGTTGCCTTTGCGGGTGTTAGAAAAATACAAATAGTGGTCTCTAACAGATTAGCTAGCAACCCAAAGCAAATGGGCCTATATGAAAACGTATAGCCAGCCATTATATGTTTGAATATATTTATGGGTGGCTGTGATATTAAGTGCAGTCGTGTAAATACTATGATTAATAATTAAATCTTATTTAAATGCTTCTTAGAAGTCAGTATTTGTTTCATGAAAAAAATGATTCAGTTTTCTTGATTCGCCTAGTGAACGTCAACTCTCATATCCCTGCGCATCTCTCTGGGCATGCGAGCATCTCTCTTCACAAAATTAAGTGGGAAACAAGGCGCTTATTTTATTTTGTCTCGCTTAAACAGCAATCTGAAGTGATTTGACACTTTTTCAATATCTTTAAAAAAATTTACGCTAAGATTTTTCCCATAAAATTTTGTCGATACGTTTGCAATTTCATCTCTTCGATTTTTCCCCATGTTGTAATTCATTTTTTTGGTAAAATTCTGAATAAAATAAGGAAAGTAAATTCGCTTTACTTTTTTATACTTAATTCTCACTGACATAAATTTAAAAGCTTAGAAAAAGCAAAAAAATTCCTGATATCTCTTAAAAAGATCCAAACTTGACACGAACATATTCACTCAATATTTTTGATGTATCTTTTCATTTGCGCTTCTTTTAGCGAATTTCTGCATGGTATCGATTATTATTGTTATTATTATGAATAATAATAATAATGATAATAATAATAATAATAGTAATAATAATAATCGTGTCTGTCAAATCCACTTCACTATCCTTATCATACTGAATTTTCCCGCAGAATTTCAAGAGATTAAGGGAGTATATTTTCTACACTTTTGCAGCAATACTTTCAAAGCCCTTGTCGATGTTAACAATACTTTTACATGCAATCTTCTGTAAAGACTTAGGAAATTTTGCTTCTTCCCAACTTCCTTTTTAGGTTGCACTAAGTAGCTTTAATGCCGTCTTATCAACCCTATTTGCGATTTTTCTGCCATTCATTCGTTCAAATGGTTACATCGTTTATCCACACTGTCCTTTTGTTTCTGTTGTCACCATTTCTATCATATTAATAATTTTTAGCCACCGTGTGTTAACTGTTAGCTTACACAGGAGACTAAGTGACCGTACGTTTTCTCAATACACTCGCACTTATTTTAGTATTCTAACTGTTGTTATTAGATTCTTTTAATTTCTGTTTAGTGCCGTCCTTTACCTGTAATTACCCAAAACCTGGGGTACACAAGGTCATAGATATATGCATCCATTTGCATAAATTCTGTTAAGTGATATTCAACATGTACAGTGTTTATATTTTCTTTACATTAATAATGCACTCCTTTACAAAGAAATAATTCCCCACAGGGCAATCTTTACAATATATTTTAAAGAGGGACTTTGAATATTCTTTCACCAATTTTTATCCTATTCAGGGTTCAGAGTGAGACCTTAAAAGAACAGATATACCTATACATGTTTATATATCAGTTCTTTTAAGGTCTCACCCTTTTCACTTCCAACACCTATATTATTTGTTGTATTCTTTAATATTAAATGTTAATCTGATTAACATTATTATTTTTGTATTTCTTTGTTGTCAAGATTAGGTAACCAGGCACAAAGTGATCAAGAGCATGAACATGTTAATATATTTATTATTATTATTATTAAACAAAATAATTTAAGTAACCCTTTCAATATTTTTCAATGCCACAATTTAAAAAAAAAAGAAAAAAAAACACTGCTTGACAATGTTAAACAATATTTCAACAATATGCCTGTCTTCTTCAAGTTATACTTTTAAAAATTTTCAAGCGTAAAAATATATAAATCTCCTAAAACTATAAGTCTTTGTACAAACGGTGCTTGTCTTGTAATGAAAATAGACCGTACTGGTAAGCACAGCCTCTAAAAGCGAATGAAATTATGCCAGCAGAAAGGCATGCAACGGAAATATACTTAATATCTTGTTCATCTTGGAATTTTCCGTTAGTTGATTAGTTACTAAGAAGAATTAATGAAACAGCTTAGTATAAATCTTATGAAACTCTCCTTTAATTCTGTTTATTCCCCGGGACGAAAGGTTAATAATTTGCATACTTAAGTATCCTCATGCGTTTTAAGTGTCGCAAGATCGATAGATTTCGAATATTTTTTTCAAAATGTGCACCTTAAGATGCTTGTCGAAATTAAAGTTGTTTGTAATAAAATGTTCTTCAAGCTCCGTTGATCACGATGTCTGTGTGATTAGCTTTGATTGTTCTGTGTCTATTTTAAAGTCCCATAAAATTGTTACAGATCCTATATCTGTAACTGGGTCTGGGAGATGTTCATACCAGTTACTTGCAGTTTCCCTCCTATAAGATTTTATTTTTACTGCAGATATTGACCCACTCTATCTTGGTGAGTTTTATATTCAGTGGGTGCTGACTAATACAGTGGGTGCCATCTAATACAGTCATTTATTATTATTATTTTATTTCTTTTGATTTCTGGTATGTATTCATTTCTTTCCAGGTCCCGACCAGAGACCTAACGTTAGAAATGGCAACATGACATTTTCCACTGAAAAAAATAACACATATTTTACATAGATAAAGCCTTAGTACTAGTGAGAACATTTTTTGTATTTTTTTTGCCAAAGAATCCTTTTTTTATCTTTTCCAATCAATGGGCTCCAACTACAACTGATGCATATGCCACATTTTTCGAAAGGTCCTTGTATTTTGATAGTTTTTTGAAGATCTTCAAAGATAGAATATGCAATATCTAATTTGATTGTTCTGTGTCTATTTTAAAGTCCCATAAAATTTTCCAGATCCATATCTGTAACTGGGTCTCAGATGTTCATACCAACTTGCAGTTTCCCCTCCTATAAGATTTTATGCAGATATTGACCCACTCTATCTTGGTGAGTTTTTTCGAGTGGTGTTCACAGGTGCCATCTAATACAGTCATTTTGATTATTATTTTATTTCTTTTGATTTTTATGTATCATTTCTTTCCAAAGATAACGTTAGAAAATGGCAACATGACATTTTCCACTGCAGTTTTTTGAAGATCATCAAAGATAGATTGCAGTCTGCAGGGGCTGCAATATCAATAAGAAAGGTAATTAGCTTTGATTGTTCTGTCTATGTGCATTGTGAAGTCCCATAAAATTAATACAGATCCTTTTCTCCGTAACCGGTTTTGGGAGTTGTTTATACCAATTTCTTTCAGTTTCCTTTCCCTAAAAGTTTCAGGTTTTTCAGTGCAGATATTAGCCCTACTATGATACAAGATGGCCAATTGTTCCTGGATATTTATCACAGAATCTGCATTTTGGGCTAACACAATTTTTCAGTGCTGCAACGTAAAAACTAAATCGAATACTGGAAAAAAAATAACGTAAAACGTATAATACGAAGCACACTTAAAAATCTAACATTATTATTATTATTATTATTATCATTATTATTATTATTATTATTATTATTTCATGTATGCAAATGTTCATAGTAAATGCCTCCTTTTTAAATTACATAAAAAAATGAGTCTCTTCAAACTACAGCACGTTTCTCAGTATCCTTGCAGACATCCGAACTAACGGAGACGAGTCATTTCAGTGTTTCTTCGAATTAGTAATTCCTTCAATCTTGCACCTTGTGTTTCTGTTAAAAAAGTAAAGTGTGCTTCGTATTATAAGTTTTTCGTTATTTTTGCCTTATTCACTTTTGTTCTTTCGTTGCACCTTTAAATCTATAATATCTGCTATCCTCTTTCCCTTATTTACCTCTATCAAAACCATTGTGACGTCGTCCCCTGGTCGCAGCGCCAACTGTGACGTTCTATTCTGGTCTACCACGGCACCAACTGTGACGTCCCTAAACAGCACCAATTGTGACGTCCTCGCCGCGGCGCCAGCTGTTCGCTCCTCGCTACTCCGTTCGGGTGTCGCTGCTCCAAACGTGACGTCCGCCTGTAGCGTCAGTCGTGTTGTCTCGTCCTGTGACGACCAACTGGCTTGGTATCGGTCGCGGCACCCAAATGTGACGTTCTAACCTTTTGGTGATTCGGGTGGGAATCTGGTTAGATTTGATATCAGCCTTGTTCTCAACTCGCTTCCAACGCCTGGGTACCAAGGTAACTGCATTGATCCCCAGTCTGCCTACCCACGTTGTGAATTGATCTTAGGCAGACGAGATCAAACAGTGGTTGGGACCGTAATGCAAACCGAGTTCAACGGGGGTGATACCACACAAATATGCATAAAAGAAAAGAAAATGAAAACTCAAAAAGTTCAAAGTATCAAAGAAAAAGGTAACAAACTTTATGTCTAGTTGTTCGATACATAGGACTGCATCTATCTCCCGACCCGTTCTATGGATTGTGACACGTCGTTTTCCGTTAGGCGAGTTTTAACGCTTCAAGTTGTTTGCTCTCTAAGAAATTGGTTTTTCGGTGTGTCTTCGGACGAAAGTCGAAAAAAAACTTATTTCGGTGGTCTGGATGTAAGTCGCTCTTCAAAATAATTGTTCTTGGGTTGAAGAGGAGTCCGGAATTTGCGTGAATCTTGGTCAGCTATCTGCGAGGCGGCTTCAACTGGAGACTGACTCTTCGCTGCAACTCCAACTCAAACTGAAATTGGAACTGGAACTCACTGGAACTGATTTCTGCTCGTTGTGGCTTCGCTTATATGGACGCCGACCAAAACCGGGGTGGGTCTGTCAGCGTCGGGGTTTCTCGATAATTCTAAATACATATCCACCTCTCTTTAGGAATTTCCACTTTTTTTCCATTTTTGGGAACCTTTCCTCCTCCC